TTTAATATGTATATTTTTCAGACTCTCCTGTGTAACATGAAGAGCAGTGGCGTTGATGGATTGGTGTGGCGTTTGGCTATTGTGATGTGCCATGCAATTCATTCTCTTGGAGGGCTTCCGGCTGCTGCTCACCTGTGGCATGAGGTGATCTTGGAACTGCGATTCCGTTGGGACAACGCCATAACCATTCCAGGGGTCAGCAGTGGAGCCCCAGACCTGTCATCCACTCTTTTCCATCAGAAACTGCAGATGCTGAATTGCTGTATAGTTAGAAGAAGGGCCAGGGAACAGAGTCCTAAGGGTGGTATGTGACCTGAATCTCTTTTTTTATCCAGAATTTGTTGTGAATGTTGTAAAAATATTGATGAATGTATGTGCAGGAAAGGATTTCTGTATTCTTCTGTCTTGTTATGATTTCATAATTAACTACACTGACATCAAATGTTTTAGGTAATGATATTTCTGAAGAAGATGATGAATTTTACGAGTGTGAAGAAGAAATGGAGGAAGATGAGAAAGGAAATGGAAGTCGGCCTGCCTGGGACAAGCCAGAAGGCCGCCTGAAGCGATGTGGACAGCTTCGGCTCTTTGAGACTAATGAGCCTCTGTATATACCAATCACTCAAGAGCCAGCACCCATGACTGAAGACCGGCTGGAAGAACATGCTGATGTACTCCTGCGTCTTGGCACAGACACTGTTGGCTCACAGCTGCGGGCGCGGATGATGTCGGCTTCCCTCCTCTCAGACATGGAATCATTCAAGGTAGCTATGAGGGATGTTTTTAAATAGTATTGAAATGTTGCAGGTGAATTTTTGAAAGTCAGGTTATGAAAAATATTAAAAGAGCATGAATAATAAGATAATGATGTTAAGATGTTTGTTATGATATTATTTTTTTATTTGTTCATACAGGCAGCCAATCCTGGGTCAGTACTAGAGGACTTTGTGAGATGGTATTCACCTCGAGACTGGATAGAGGAGCCTTCCTCAGACCCTAACAAGCCTCCCCAAGGGAGTCTTAGTACTCGTATGCAAATTCCTGGAAACATGTGGCAAGAAGTAAGATGATGATAATATTTATTCTTTAGGTGGACTTTTCTGATGTATATATTTTTTTATGGTGGAGGTGTTAGATTTAAGCCACAGTGAAAACCACAAAGAGATATATCCACCAAATCTTAACTCTTTGGGGCCAAATTTGGATTTACCACATGGTCCTGAAAAAGTGTTTCATCATGCTTGAAAAGGGAAACACTTTTGTGGGTCATGCAGATCTTAATGCTGACCTAGTATATGGTGCTAGCAGTGTCTAGAGATGGCAACTTATACTATTGGTCAACTGACTTACTTACATTGAGGGAGATTAAGGACATTGTTGAAGGAGTAGTTTAGAGTTGTGTCAATGTTGTGGGGAATGATGTAATGTTGGGGCTTTGTGAAAAGAATGGTGTGATGTTGGAGTATTGATGTGGTTGTACATTGATACGGACAACTGTATATCATACAAATTTATAATGAATATGTAAATTTATGCAGAAAGGTCTCATAGCAATAATTTTAATGTAACAAAGGAAAACATTTATTTCCATGTGAGACAGAAAAAATAAGTAAAAATATCAAGGCTGGCTAGTTTTACAAGGAGAGCAGGAGAAAAGGATGATTGTTTGATTTTCTGTTATTTGTTTATTGTTTTTTGTGTTAACAACTTTTTATTAAGAAAGCTTTTTTATGGACCAAATAGAAAAACTTTTTTTCACTAATTTCATTTGATGCCTCTTTACAATGCAAAATTGAAAGAATGTTTGTATAATAGATAATGAAAAAGTAATGCAAAATCAGACAATATTGATTACATTTATTGGTGTACTGTTGATATGAAATTAAGAATCTCATGAAATTTTCTATAACATTCAAAGCATACATGTTAACAGTGACATTGTATATCCATTTGTGACATGGAGAAGGTTAAGGTTTTTTATTATTTTTATCATTATTTCTATTAGCTTCTTATTATGATTATTTTAGAACTTCATTTTAATATTCGTGTCAGGTATGGAGCAGTGCAAAACCAGTCCCAGCCAGGAGACAAAAAAGGCTCTTTGATGATACCCGTGAAGCAGAACAAGTGCTTCACTGGCTGGGCTCGATGGGACCAGGTGCTTTGTGCGGCCATCTACAGCCAACAATTCTCCATGCTTCTCTGTGCCGCCTTGCTGAGGAAAAATTATTGTACTCCCTGCCGGCACCCAACACCCTGCCGCAGCCTCTACACTGTAATTCATTGGCTGCCATTTTGGAGATGGTTGCTCAGCGGATTGTCAGGCTTTCCAGACAGCCTCCTGATACAAATAAGTAAGATTTTGAAAGTGTTTAGCATCATTGGCTTATTTGCTTTTGTCAACATCTTGTAGATGTGATTTACACATAGGGCTGTATGTGATTTCTGGTAAAATCTTGGCTGATTGTTTATTTGATATTCCAGTAATTTAGTTTCCTTCATCTTGAAATAGAACTTGAAATTAAACTGTAACTTTATCCTTTTATTTGTGGGAGAAGTTGGGATATAGAGACTGTTGTATTTCTATTTCCTTAAGATAGAAACAAATGAAGGAAGTATTGTCATCATAAAAGATGCAAGTGCCAGAGGCCCTAAGAGTATTATTATAATTTTTTTTAAATTAGTTAGTGAGTTAATGAGGATGTTATAAATGTCAACCTCCTTTTTCTTGAAGATACCAGGAGGTCATTGATCAGATGGCTGAGGTTGAGGGAAGCATAGCAAGAGCACAAAGTGTGAGACACAAGCTGCTTGGAGATTCCACAGGGTCATCAGTCGGAGGAACTTCACCGCTTGAGGACCTGGTATTCCGACTACTGGACTCACCAGAGGTTACTTTAGAAGGAGGGCCAAGGGGTCCAGCAGCAGCTGTCATCAGGAAACTGTTCCAGGAAGCACAGAGGGTATGATCACTCTCCTACCCATATTTAACTTTCTGACATATATTTTGATTTTTTTCTTTTCTTTTCTTTTTTCTTTTTTCTTTTTGAGATTCATGCATTAGCATTTGAAAAATTCATAATTTCTTTCAAATGTAAGCAGTTGATGTAGTAGTACTATAGGGCTATTATTGATCAGTGTCATATTTGTATTTTTATTTTTTCTATACTTTTTTTAGGCTTCGATGCTTGTTGATGATTCACCTCTAGATGCATCAAACAGCCATGATGACCGACGATCGTCTGTGAATTCAACTCATGGTGGCCCAGCAAGTGAACTTGGGCGGCCAGCAGGTCGCGAGTACCTGTTGCGCACCCTAGTTCCGGCTCCCACAGCATATTCCCGTCCAGTTCCTCACAGAATGTTTGTTGTTCTGTCACCAAGTGAATTTCGAATGACTGGGGCCTTTTCAGAAGATACAACATTTTGTTAACAAGTTAAAAAGTGGTTATTTTTTATATTTTATATTGTGTGTCATATTGTAAGTATGCAGTTAAGGAAATTACATCAGTATAGTCAGTATATTATGATTGTCTTTGACATAAGAACAAATTCTGTTTATTCATTTATATATATATGTTATCTGCAAGTTATTAAGATATGATGCAGATAATGGAGATGGTATTGTGTATGTATATATAAATATCAGCTGTGGTTTATTAGCTCTACATTTAATGGTTGCAATTTAAAGGCTTTAATTAATGTAATGGTGCCAATAGGGTCATAATATCAGTAACTTTGATGCATGGAAAACCAATCCTAGTAGATGCCAATTAGCTTCTCCTGTAGTAAGAGGTGAAGGTTTATTTTATTGAAGCAAAAGGTTGGGATTTCTCAGTTTAGAGTGAAGACAAAGATATAGTATGGCAAGAAAAAATATTATAGTCCCACTTTAAAGATATGAAGGAAAAATGAAAGATTTTGAAAACTCCCCTGACATATTTTCTTATTATAACTTCTAGTTTATCTACCAGCCTTCCTTCAATAACTATTGTTGAAATGTATTGCAGCACACATCACCAAGTCATATATACCAGTGTATGTGCTATGAAACAGTATTCTTTCTAAATAAATAAATTCATAATGTCATAATCTGTTGATGCTAGGAAAGCATGTATACATGCACTAACTGCTGGAGTTTTGTTTTGATAATTTTGATTACAGGCAGGGGCTCCAGAAGTATTACTTGCTAGGAAGTCATTTACTATGCCTCCTGACCTCATGTATTTACCCTCATTTCTTGAATTTTTTGGAAGAGTATTTTTTTATTCAATACTATTATTATTATTGTTAATGCTATAGTATGATGATTAGCCTGATAAAGATGATAATGACAATAGAAATGAAACTTTTTTCATGAGATTTAAACAAATTGAGGAAGCACTTTTAAAGCCACTTAGGTGTAAACAAAACTAATGAAGCAAACCATTGTGGATACTTCAGGTCAAGCAGATTTCAGACTGTGAAAGCTCTCTTGAATGCTGGTATTACATAGTCTTTCACTGTTCAAAAGTGAAAATGTACAGATGCCTAGTTTTCAGAATTTTGTCAGTATAATGATAGGAGATACATGTGCATAAAGTATTGTGGGTGTATCATCCAAAAAAATTATCATGCAGATGTAGATAGGAGGAATAGTTTTTTAATCATATTTTTAAACATTATCATTGTCATTGCTTTTAATTATTTCTGGCATGTATTGAAAAGTAAAATTGAAGAAATATATGCCTTCTACAATCCACACACACCATGTACACAGTGGTCAGGAAAATGTTGATGAGAGACTTTGCTACTTGGGCAGGGGCATAACTGGAAATCTGGGGGCCCCAGGGACTATGTCCCTTGAGGGACTGCCCTGGACTTGCTTTGTTGACAAAAATTTTATGACAAATTGATTATTTATTTATTGGAACAGAGGCAAATTTTTATTTTTACTTGTGCTAAAAACATAAAAAAAACATTCAATGCATACTGGTTTACATCATAAATTGTACAGTCAT